TCATTAATTTAGAGGAACAGAGCTGATATTGAAGACATAGGAGAGCTTGCTGCTTATAGGGGAAGGACACAGTAACAAGAGATCACAGTGGAGATTTTGCTAAGCAAAATCTGAGCTTTACTAGATGAAGATAACGATACAAATCAAGATCCCTGGTGTGAATGGGAGGAGCCAGTGCATTCCAATTTGGGTGTTGACTGAGGAAAACAGAAAGGGAGAGAAGTGGCTTTATTCCAGCAGTCTTTGAAGAGTTGGCCATTTGCCCAAGTTGATAAATGTTTCTCACTTTGTCAGAATAATGGAGGCTGACATGCTGCAGACATGCTGAATTATTATTTTAATGTAGTTTTGCTTTTTACTGCCAGTATGACATCGGGACTGTTTCTTTGCATCTGTATCATTAAATAACAAAGACCTTGGCTTGTCTTTCGCTGTTTTTGCATATCTGTGTTTATGCATGTGTGTAATCTTTGGTAAGTTTTGGTAGGAGGGTTATTTTAGCTTGTAGAAATAGAGAGGTTTTTGTTTTCCTCCATATTTTGGAGCTCTTTGCCTAGTAAAGAAGTTCATCCCTTTGCTATGAAACTCTCTGAACTTACATTATCTAATACAGTAGCCTCTAGCCATATCTGTATTTTAAACACTTGAAAAGTGGATAGTGAGACTTAGGAACTAAATTTTAAAATTTTATCTTTACTCTAATTTTAATTAATTTAAATTTACATTTAAAAGCAAATACTCATTATAGTTTTGAAAAACTTGTAAATTGTGTTTGGAACAACCTGGGTATATAAGTCTATTGTTTGTATATTATATGCCATCAAAATATTCAGAAGTATTTTGGATAAAACTTTAGGAAGAGATTGAAATGTACTTTAATTTTAAAGAAACATTCTGATAAATAATAAAATTATTTATTAAATAGCAATTTAATAAAAATTAAATAATTTTAAAGGAAAGGGAATAAAAATTAATTTTTATTTTTAATCAAATTTTTCTTTTGTTGAAATTATAATCTTTAATATACATTGTCATAAAATAGTATTGAAATTAAATTCACCTGTGCTTTTTTAACACTTCATCTTATTAGCAGAAAATTTTACATTGCATATCTGTTTACCAGACATTATATTTCTACTAGTTACCATTGTTTTGAACTGTGTGCAATCCTAAAGGGTTAATAACTCTCAGTTTCTTTTGGAGTTATTGGTTCATTTGGTTCCTCTCTTCAGAATAAACTTTGATCATGTATGTTTTTCTCAAAGACCATTTATTTCAAATTCTTTCAGATGTCTTAATATAGTGCCTCACAAATTTCATCTATATTTTTTTATTTATGGATTTAGCAGTGAATTACTTTTGAGATGTATTGATAATTCTGCTTTTGTCGTTTTTTGATTAATTACATATCTGCTTTGATGTTTGTTGATTTCTCCTTTTTAAATACTTATATGTTCTAATATATTTTAAATCAAATTAATTTTTAATAATTGTATGAATTATACTTCCATTTTCTTTTCTGATCAGATTTTCATTTTTAAAAAGGGTATCTCAATAAAGTGAGAAGTGACAGAACAGGAGAAATTTCACACAGTTTCCATCTATAGCTGACCCAAGACAAACCCTTCTCTTTTTTTGCCTCTCAACTCTGTCCAATTCAGTATCTTAAAATCAACTCAGTGACAGTCTGGTCTCCTTTAAAAAGATTTGTATATTTAATGACGACGAATGCCTGTGATTTATAAATATGTAATCTTTTTTCTCTCTTTCTTTTAAAGATAGTGTTTTTAGAAGAAGCATCTCAACAAGAAAAACTGGCCAAAGAATGGTGCTTCAAGCCTTGTGAAGTAAGAGAGCTGAGCCACCAGTGAGTCACCCCCGACTTCTCCCTTTCACCGGGTGCCATGGACTAGGCTGAAATGACGGGAAACCTGCCTTGAGAGAGAGGCTTTTAAAATTAATTAATTAGTCATATAATGGGGGAGATGGAAAGGAGGAATTACACGGAGAATAGGAAGATGGAGGACAGGAACTTTGAGAACCAGAAGTTGCCATTTTCCATCTGTTTCCTCTGGGAATATTTGTTGTAGCACTATCTTCCACATCTCAGTGGGGGTTTACAGCCTCATGTAAAGAGATACTTAAGCATGACAATAGCAGATTGTCAGGTCTCCTGTCAAGGAAGTAAATGGGGGGAGGAGGGAAATGACAGATAAACTATTGGAGAGTAGAGTTTGAGAAGCAGTCACTCTGACAACATGGTTAGAGAAGACCAATGCCCAGAAGTGCATTTGAGCTGAAATTTAGGTGATTTTTAATATTTGTATAAGCTGTGTTTCCTGTGGTGGGCCCACTGTCTTCACAGCCTGGTTGATTTGTTTTATAGAAATGGGAATACTTATTTTAAGCTCAAAAATTGTATCTTGTTTCAGACCAATTGTGTTTCCAAGGTCAATAAGAATGGTAGCACTTTCATTGTGAAGGTACTTTCAACGCTTAGAAATTGACTTCAGGCTAATGTAGCAAGAAGAACGTAGAGTGAATCTTCATGCTACAGCTTTGCAGCTGTCATCTCAGCTATTAAGCTCATCTCTGCTGCAAGGCCAGAGACTGGGCAACTGTTCATACAGTTTCGTGGCCCTTGCAGTTGTGTTCACATCTCCTCCCTCCTCCCCTTTCCTTCTACTTCTTGGTAACCTGAAAGGATGTGAGGAATAAGCAGGGACATTAATACAGCAACTTCTGCTCTTACTGATTATTCTGCTTGCTGGATTTTCTTAAGCATCTATTTTGAGAAACAAAGGCTGTCTGCCTTTGTGACAGGGGTTTGTGGAAGGCTAGGAAATTGACAAAGTGGAGGTGTAGGGGAGACAAGAGGATGGGGTGGTAGGGTCTACCTACCTGTGGATCTTCAAATGCTTTTGTCTCTCTTTATGAGATTGCTTTGGAGTTAAATTCATTAAAAATTCAGATTCTGAGGACCCTATAGGCATTACACACAGAGGAGTGGTAAGGCAAGACATAATTTAAATTTCAATGGGAGACTGAAATATTTAAAGAAAAATTATACTTAAAATGCAAAATAACTCATTATCATACACACAAGTTACATATGGTAGAATTGCTCCAAGTCATTAAAATATCATAGAAAATAATGTCTCTGATATTCTTTTTTTAATAGCTTGGTCCTAATAGTGTATCTACAGGTATATCTTGGTA